GTCCGAGACCTCCTATAGATACATGCGCGGCCAAGACCTCTGTGTCCCGTATGTCCAAGACCTGTGTCCGAGACCCCTGTGTCCGAGACCTCTATGTCCGAGACATGAATGTCCGAGACCTCTGTCCGTGTCCGAGACCTCTGTGTCCGAAACCTCTGTGTCCGAGACCTGTGTGTCCGAGACCTCTGTGTGCACATTCCCTGGTGAGACTGGCTGCGCAAGACCGCTGACTGAAAACTATTCCCATGCAAACGGGGTGATAAACAACCCCAAAAGAGGGGGCTAAACGACCCCTCGCCCTCGTGGAGCTCGGTTCTTTCTCGGTCTGACACCCTTGAGTTCCAGAAATCCTCGGTTCGATTCGGGAAGGATCAAGCTCCTGGCTAGGCCGCTAGACCCTCGAATTCAGCTCCTTGCAGCGTGAAAGCACCCTGTATTAAACGTTGAACGGTCTCCGGTCTCCGGGTCGGTGCAGATGCCACACCGCCATGAAGGCCCAGTTCGGCCATGCTCCCACCTTCTTCACCCATCTCCCCCAACCTGAACATGTGTTCGGGTGAGGATTTCTCTGACCGGCTCTTCGTTTCAACCGGCCCGGTAAAAATGGATATTGGATTCAAAGGCCTCATCTCATCGCTTCGACCGATCCGAATCCTCACGCTGTCCGTCTCCTTGGCGTCCGTCTCCGCTGTGCACCTGTTTCGTCCCCGGTTTCGGCCCAACACGCGCCGCGTTTCGGGTGACCACTTTAGAGCAATTCTGGCCATTCTGGCCTCCGGCCCGGTGTTCATGTCAAACACACCCTGTGTCCGTGGAAAGTCGGAATCACGGCCTGTCTGAGCCTCCCAAGAACTCCCAGACTCCTGACACAAGTCTCCCGGGCTCCGCACTCCTGGTCCTCCTCCACTCATCCATGTTCATCCCATGGTGGACGAGTGGCTTCACCTTGGTCTTCTCTCCGCAGAAAAAGCGCCTGGGCTTCGCTTCGATGAGCCGGATGGCGTTCTCCGTGACCGGCATCAAGGTGAAGAGCAGCGTCACCAAGTCCTAGGGATTGTTCACCATGATGGGGAGCTTCACGGGGAGCTTCAGGGGCCGGCATCATGTTTGGTTGCACGAATCCGCGTTGGCCCTTCCAAGCCTTTGGCCCTAGTTCGAGAAAGAAGCGTAAACGTTGGTGCAGTGGGGGCTTTCACTTGCTCCCAGTGTTGTCCTGTTGGATCACATCACTCCACGGCCTATGTCCGCCAGGAGCCCACCCAAAAATACCACTCCACCAACGGAGAAGTTCGATCGTTCAACTCCGTTCACGTCGGCGATTCGCTGGGCCGGTTCGGCATGCCAGGGCTCCCAAAGGGGTTCGGCCTCACAGCGGCCCACGTTGCAACGGTAATCCGTCTCCAGGCCTAGCTGAATGAGTCCCACCAACGAGAGGAACGCAGATAAGGTGCCTCAGCGAGACGGAGACGAGGCAAGGAGGCCGGCCGGTTGGAGATGCGGACCATCTGGGCGCTGAAGACTGTCAAGTCTCTCAGAGGAATCCAGAGGGCACCCCGACACGAACCAGAAGAAGAACTACAGTACAAACAAGCTTGGGATGGTTCATGAATGCGGCGCGGGTGCAACACTGCCAAAACCTTGCCTGAGCTTGAACCAGATTCCTTGCAGGCGATCCACCCAGATGGGTTCCGTTTCAGGGGTCAATGAATATCTTCCATAGGAGTGTCTGGGGTCATAGTCTTCCGTGGTGTTTGAGTCAGTTTGACCTGCTGGGGTGGTTTCACTAGTTGTTTTCACCAGACCAGATCGGTGGGTCGAGATTGGCACGGGTGTTGGTGACCCCCCCGTCTCCCTAATCGACTCACCTGAGCGCGGTGTCCACGGTCCCAGCGGGGGAAGCATCTGCATGGGCATGTCTCAAACCGATGGCGACCCCCGAAGCGCCCCTGGTGGGGTAGGGAAAATCATTGAACATCTGAACATCCACCCATCATGGGCAAGCCCCGAATGCAGGGGTTGGTCCAGAGTCCATCGGCCGGCTCCAAACAACCCAATGCAATGACTCAGACCGACTCAGACATTGACATAGCTGAACAGGCCAAGGAGCTAAAGAAGCGGCCCTTGGTCTTCAGCTCGGGGTCAATGACTTGCGCCACCGAGGCTAAGGTCTGCCTCTTGAAGATCTCCTGCTCCTCACGCGGTGCGTGAGTGCGCGAAAGCACGCGGGAAACCACAAGAGAAACCTCTTGTGCCCCAAGGGTTTAGGGTTTAGGGTTCGGGAAGGTCAGAGGAGTCAGATGTTGTTATAGTTGTTCAATTTCTTTTTCTGGCTGGAAGGTCTTTCATCTCTTTTGGCCCTCATTGTTGAGTGCATCTCTCAACATCGTGATGGCTAGATGCACACCACGCCATCAGAACGGGATTGACTGAGTTTTCATTCAAAGTTTGGAACGTCCCACGATCGTTTTGCAGGAAATGGCACGTTGGACACGGTGATGCCTGGCACTTTGAAATCCAAGGATCGGGGCTTGGGACAGGTTGGACGTCCCGTGTCATCTTCCAAGGAAGATGAAAAAATCACAGTCTTAGATGAAATCTCCTTGATGATTGCACCTAGCGCTTCCAATGGGTGTCCAATAAGCAGTGTAGGGTTGTCCATTGGTAACCCCGAACGGAAGCAGCTGGTATACAGTCAATGGGCGGTAGTGTTGAAAACGACTGAGGTCGGTCGAGATCAGAATTCCCCGTCACCTCCCTATAGTTGGAATCTATATCAGCCTCCATCTGTCTCCAAGTAGAAGTCACGAATTCCTGAATTCGTTCTTTCCAAAGCTTTCCTCGGCCCCAACTAAGGGCCCAGAATAGAACCACCCACTGCGGCCTCGTCGAGCTGGTCTCCCCAGCGTCACCCAAACCCCGAAGACCCCGTCGGGCGGTCCTCGTTCCCGAAGAGCTGCAAGGAGTTTTCAGAGCTCCTGGGCGACGAGCTGGGGCACGGCAGGGCACAGCGGGGTGTTTGGAAGCAAGGGACCTCAAAGAACCATGGTCTGGTCTAGGGAATTGGATCATTTGGGAGGGTGTCACACCCAGCCGTCCGAGGAAAACAAGAAGTTCAAACCAAATTCTCATGGGCCCTCATGGCCGAGGTTTGGGATCCTGGCCCTGGCGTTTGGGATCAGCAGTTGGTAGCCTTGAACTGAAAGACGGGAAAGACTTGCACTCCAAGAGGCCCCTCATCGTCCGACTGCATGGAACTATTTCTGCTCTGCGACGTGCTCGCCTTGCTGCTCCGCATGGAGCCCCGCACGTCCTCCGCCATGGGCCCCCGCGTTCGGCCGCGTGGCCGCCCGGCTGAGCTGGAGCCAAGTCTCGCGATCGGTGCGACTGGAGCTGAAGAAGTGGATTCAAGAAGCTGAGGGCGTTCCTTGGTGGAAACACCCCTTTCATGACACCCTCTAGTTAAGCTGGAGATTTGCTGCACCCTTCATCAAGATCATCAAGCTGTAGCCTGCCATCCACCACACTGGTCAGCCGAACGGACGGGCCAAACAGTTGCGACCCACCCCCACCACACCTTCTGCCAAACGGGGCGTCGAGTCCGATTCGACCTTGGGACGTCTACATCTCGTTCGCCAAGCCCAGACGCCTCACGGCGTGGACCTTCCGGAAGGCGGCATCCAGGCTCCAGTGCTCTTTCATCATCATGTACCTCAAGAGAGCGCGCGCCGGTCAGTCCCAAGGCGCTGGAGACGCGAACACCACGGTCTCACCACCCCGGTCACGACAGTCCGCGCAGTGGGCGGGTCCGCGCGCGCGGCCTTGCGCCGAGGCATGGGACTGCCATATATGCCAATCAATTGACCCCCAAAACCAAGGCATATATGGCAGTCCCATGGAGTGTCTGGGATAGATGTGAGCCTCAAGATTCTCAGCTCGTGCGCCACCCCACCACCCTCCACCCCCTGAACAAAACGTCCACACCAGGTGTCACAAGACGGGGTGCTCTTTGGTTCCATCCATCCAGTGGAAAAACTGGGCACTCCAAGCTGCGGCACCCCGTCTTGTGACTCCTGGCAGAAAAGCACCCCGTCTTGTGATCCATGTTCGTCCTCTTGTACCTCGTGGCCGAAGTGTTCCGGCCCTCTCTACCCAGCACAGCGGAACCCGGGAAGACGGTGCGTCGCGCGATCGCAGCGAAGCGAAGCACCCAGGTGGGGAGAGCGACATCGGAAGGGCCTGGTGACGTGGATGGCATGACCGGTGAACGGATGACCATGGTCAATCCAAAGGCCAAACAGGTGATGTTCACTCCACTTCCACTTCAACCATGATTCATAGTCATAGAGTCATAGATTCAACTTCAAAATACTTAAAAATGTTTAACACACCAGCAGTCACAAGACGGGGTGTCGATTGGAGGAAGTCCCCATGATCCACTCACTGGATGGGACTAAACACCACCCCTTTGTGAACCCCCCACGGCCGGTCATCTGCGCTGAGCGACGCCATGCAGCTCGTGGAGGCACGAGAGATCCCGGCGGCGCAGTGCACTACCACGCCGCCCTTGGCGCGGCCGGCCTGGGAGGAGGGACCTGGAAATGGACGAAGTGTCCAGAAGGTATAGTGGGTACACTCCCAAAAACTAACATAGACCCTGACCATGGCCCCCTGGAAGAGTGTTTTCCTCTACCAACCAGTGGTTTTCAGGGTCCATGTTAGTCTTCCAGGGTGTAGAGAGAGAGTGCCTGGCACGTCTGGGCCCCCAGGCAATGTCGGTGGTGAACAGATGGACCCCCATCTGTCTAGGACATCTTGGGGTGTGTGCCATCTACTCTGAAACCAACTGTAATAGGCTTGGGGGGCTTGGCTTGGATCCAATGGTTCCTTCTTCCAGCAAAGGCTGAAAGTTACCGAACATGGGTGGATCGTACGGCCTTTGTACCTTCAATAGCATCCAAAAATAGACCTAGCATCCGATGGATAGGCTGGATAGTACAGTAGGCCTGGAGCGCAGTCACCATCATTGATGATGAGCCCCTGATGCTCGTCAACCAGTGCTGCTTTTTCCTGGTTCATTCCGCCTCTCAGGAGTCCCAATATGGATGCCGATGCCCCAAAAATGGACATCGCATCCAACAGAGGTTGAAGAACCCTAGTTCGACTATCCCATAGGTACCCCAGTAGGGTCCTAGTTCAGGTCACTTAACCTCTCTTGGATGTGATTGACTCTCCCCAAGATGCGAAGGCTGAACATCCAACCACTGGTCTCTTTTGTCTGTAGCTTTGACCCACCAACCACTGAGCACTCTGTGGCTTCGTGCGCGCGACTTGACCCACTCAGCGGTGCCCTCTGTGGCTGCACGCCGCGCCGCACCGGTGCACCTCAATGAAGTCGGCGATCTCTTGGAAGTGCAGGCTGAGATTGCCTGAGGCTCTGCTGAGCCTAATTGGTAGGTAGGTTGACTTCTGTATAGTCAGGGGCCCCACAAACCCTCAAAAACCTGGTTTTACCTAACCAAAAAACACGATTTTTGTAACATGAAAACCTTTGTTTTTCATAGTTTTGAGGGCCCCTGGTAGTCTAATCCGCCTTCATGAGTACCGTTGATCATCATTACATACCAACACCCTGAAAGGGAAGGGCCGGTGGGTGGCGCCGGACACGCTGCGTAAGTATCGGTCAGTCGTCAACCCGGGTTCTCCAGTTTTGACCCACAGCCATATCAGTTACCGAGAAACACTAGTCGAGCCCGCCTGTCATCGGGTGAGCTTATGATGAGTAGTGATGACTGCTTCAAAGCTGTTAGGAGTTTCGTCCCGTGGGAGATTGCTCTAGATCGCATTATGCCTTAAAGATCATAAAGTTTGCAGTTCTGTTCTTTTTCGGTGTGGATACCAGCGCATGCACGTCTCAATGAATGGCAGGAAAACATCAACACGTCTCCATTCGGGGTGACAGGAACTCTTGATGCTACCGACTATAGGTACTACATGGTACTACTACGACTCCCACCTGGTGTTTCCTGGCCAACGGATCCCTCCGCTCAATGCAACAGGCGGGGGACATGTTCACAGTCCCCCAAAGCGGAAAAGAGAGGTGCCTGATTTCGGACCCCCCAAACGCCGACTCCCCGGGGCCCACCGTTCAACGCGCAGGCGGAACGCGCCGCAGCGTCGCACCGGGGCGCAGTCCGACGAGTCCTCCGCGCCGATGATGCGGACGTCGAAGTTCTGGGGCAACTCCACCATGAGATTCGCCTGATTCGGATGGGCGAAGAAGTTCGGGGTTCCAATCGGCCATGCCATGCAAGGACACGGGCAAAACGCTGTCATGCGCAGGCGCGTTTTGCCCCTCTGAAACGGGTTCGGCCACCCCCTCATCTTATCAACTCGAAGAAAAAAACAAGTGCGCAGATCTGCCTGCTGGTGGCTCAAAGGATGAGAAGGAAACATAAAGCCATAAAAACATGTAAAAACCTTGCAAACATAGAAGCGCCTTGGCCCCCCCCGGCCAAGGCTCCCTTTTCTCCCCAGGCCCAGGCGCCGAACATTTGGGGGCCGAGTCACCGCAGCGCCTCTTCTTGGACCCGGGGCGTGTTTGTAAAGATCTTCTTGCGCGGCATTTAAGATGCATTGGATGCCTGGCAAGAGCACATCGCCCCACAAAAACCAGGATCGCCTGAGGCGAGGAAGTTGCTGGATTACGAGGTGACCATAGAGCATGCAGCATCGTCATCAAACATCCAGCGCAGCCTCCTACCCGTACTCCATCAGCGCCATTTTGTAAGGCATCTTTGGACCGGAATATGTCTGGGATGGCATCGTCACACCATGTCGTGCCAAGAGCTGCACACAGAAATCAATCTCATATCTATGAAATCTTCATCTTCAACCAATCCCAGACATGTCTGATGTGACTGGCATCTGACTCCCGATCAGGCCAGGGGTGGTTGATTTCAGGGGTCTGTCTGTGTGGAGCATATGCCAGTCCCAAACAGGTCGTGTCTGGGAATGATGACACGCTTTTTCTCATCCCACCCTACAGTATATGCCATGAATCCTACCAGATTTCTGCCAACGACACCATGATGTCCGCAATGCATTCCATGGTGCCAGATTTGGGACGCGGGTGGCTGACTGGTGCGACGAACTCGTGCATGGAATCAGGGTGGCTGGATCGAAAGGCAATCTAAAGTAGGAGCTCATTCCCTCATCCCCTCATCCTCAGCACAAGTCGCGTGGAGGCTGAAAAAGGATCATCAGGCATCAAACCCTCCGGACATGTTCGTGAACCACCCATGGCCCATCTCCAACCACATGATGCAGGCAACATGTCGATCTCGAGGTTGGTAGCGAAACATCCAAACCAAAACGTGCACTGTACATAATCTATGAACCAATGGCTTTGCCCAGAATCGTTCTGACATGCAGCTCGGTGCTGCTCGCAGCTGCGGGCCTAGGGTCTTCAAGTACTTCACATCCGACAAGGCATCCACTCCGCAAATGAAGAACCCCTGCGCACACGGGAGCTCCCCGGACGACTGGTGAGCTCCCAGCTCAACCAGAAACCCTGATGATGAGCATGTTATGAAATACATCCCCGTCAATGCTCCCATTCCAAAAGAAACATCCCAGCTCTCTGCAGAAGCTAAGCACCCAAAAACTACTCTTCTGTTGCCCTGAGAGGGGTGGGTTGTCCATTGCATTGTGTGGCTTGCTGACCAATCAGGAGCCCGCTAGCCGGCTTTGCAGGCCCCATCTGAGGAAGGCACTCCAAGGCAAGTGATCAACACAAACCAAGGTGGCTCTTCAAAAAGTAATATCACTTGTATTATATTTGCTTGTTCATCACATGCGTTTGTTCGATGCCCAAACACTCTCCGCCACTGCCCCAAAGATCTTCCAAACTTGAGGCGTGCGGACCGGACTGGCAAGAGTCGAGATCTTCTAAACCCTCGGAGTTGCAGTTTGCAGGAGAGTGGACCTCTTCAGAAACTTCCACCAGTTGCTCCACAATTGCCGCAGCTCATATGTGTTCCCACGAGCCCATCATGAAGGCTGGCCAACAATTGCGTGGACAGCTTGTAGCTTGAAACATGTTGAAACACTTTCAGTCAGCCTCCGCTCTTCCCAACAAAAGGACAGAAAACTGGAAGCCACTAGGAACCGCCCAAGTCGCAAAAGGCGAGGTACGTAGGTCCAGGTCTCATGGCTCATGTGGCTCGACCCATTCCCATTGCTGGCCTCATCGATCCTGTGAACACCTCAGGAAGGCCCAGGCACGAGTGGTGATGGGGTCAGAAGGGGTCACATGGCCCCACCAAGCGGTCAAGGGGTCACAAGTCGTACCTTTTTCCATTACTTCTCTTTGAGAGCATCGAACAATTACACAGACCCAGATAGCTAGGGCAGAATCCCACGACCTGACATGCGAGAGAGGCTCTCTGGGGAAAAACCTTGGAATGGTCAAAACCTGCAGACCATTCGTTTGGCCCCCTTCGAAACAGGTCCCGACTTCACCGCCTTCGTCCCCAGTCCGGATCGGCCGACCGCCGATACCGACCCAACCACTTCGGTGGTCCTTGAGGGTGTCCCAGTTGGGTGGAGAGTGGTTGCCACATGCCAAACAAACAACACACAAGCAGGGGGAATATAGGGGGATGTAGGGGAATTCTCTTTCAACATGCACAAGCAAGAAACGCTGAAGAACATGCGGTGCTTTCTGATATCTTTTCGTGAGTTGCCCGCTTCTCCAGGCAAATGGCAGCGCCGTGTTGTGGTGGATTGGGGGGAAGCGAATTGTCCAGTTCCCTGGGGAAAAGAAACAGCACAAGGCATGACACCTGAAGTTGATTTTTGATGCAGGTTTGGAGAAGCCTCTGAACAGATGCGCACTGGTGTCAAGGCCACTTCTTGCAAGGCTATGGAACACACCGATTTGCTGGTTTTCAGCTGGATCCAGAACCAACAGGTCCTGGGGCGAAGCCAACGTGTGTCAGAGGTCCCCATCATCTCCTTTGACTAACTGGGCACGAGGCGCTCGTAATGCTCTCTCCCCTTTTTCAGCGCCCATCCGCCTTCTCGGTGTGTTTGACCGTTTGACACTGCTGGTCTACCCTGGTCTACCCAAGCTCCTTATAGCCGAGCTCATTTCGGAGTTTCAGGATGTCAGCGTAGATGTGAGGCTTCACGAGTGGCAAATACCTTCTCATGTCCATCATTTCCGCGTCATCGTTCGAGTGGTTCACCGAGTTGACGCCATCGGGCGGAGCTCTTGGATTTGACAGTGCTCGAAAAGCATATCCATCTGAATCTGCACGGTTGAGGTCTTCGTTCACTGCGTCATCCAGAATCGCTTGTCTCTGCTTTTCGGTAATCTCGTCCCGAAAAAGGAAGCGGACGATCTCCTGGCACAATCCCAGAATTCCCAAGCATTTATATATATATATATATTTATATATCAGGGTTCAGGTCCGGCACTGCTGCTAAAGAGATTCACAATCTTACTAAGTACAAAGCAATTGCATGGCCCACTTTGGGGGAAGGGACTTCAAAGATTTTCCAGTAAACTTCTGTTCCAAAACTCCTCCACCGTGCGATTGAAGCTCTTCGAGCTCCTAGTGAAATCCTCGAATCGAGCAGCCATCATGTCCGGCTTCATGACCTTGTAGGCATCAACCATGGGGCTGAGCACCGCGTACATGCGATCGGCCATCTCTGGAATCCCCACCTCTGGGCTCATCTCCGTCATGTTTACACCTAACTCTGTGTCTGCCTCAGCCCCCCGATGGTGATAGACATACGAGGAGATAATCATGTCCAAAGGATCTCGGATCATCATCACTCCACGAAAGCCACCTGCTCCTGATGTCAAACCGCGCAGCTCTCGAAGGTCATCACCTGACATGTGATGGGTGTAGCGAATCCTGGCAGGATGCAAATGACAATCCTGATGCTTGGGCGCCACTGAAGTGATTGGGCCACCTCCCCGGTCATAGTTGCAACTGTCCATGCCGCCTAGGACATCAAACGCCCGCCGCATGGTGTTGTGCAACATTTCGGTCCCAGCTTTGTGGCTGGTACCCACCAAGTAGGCATGTCGCTGCCATGCCTCCACCTTGCTCTGCCGGGTCTGCTTGTGTCGCCCCATGTGAGTTTGGAACAGCTGAGGGCCGCAGTCCTGGCCGTTGCTCTCAAAGGTGGTGGGCCATCCAAATTGCGGAGCCCCAAGGGCACCCCAAGCACCCACGAGACCCCACAAAAGCATCATGAAGAAGCGGTTGAAGGTGGAGCGGGGTTCCTCCACGATTGGCAATTGACTGCTTGAGCCAGTGAAAATGAGAGCAAGTCGGCCAATCTGCAAGTGTCTTGCGAGGTCCGGGCCCGAACAGAGTCCGTCGGAGGGGTCGCACACAAGCATTGGAGCATTAAAACAACCGTGTGCACCATCTGTTTTGCATGCTTCAACCTGTGGCCACTGGTGCTTATGCTCCAGCTGGGCGATATGTTCTGTTGTGTTAGCATCGGGGTCTTTGAAGAAAACTAAAACTTCCATCACGGTCGCGGGAAACTGATCTGCGTATATTATCTTATATGTCTGTATATCATATCATATCTCATATCCTTATTGGTGAACGCTGATTAGGGCCCCATGGGGGAGAGTCTGAACCCATTGACCTGAATTTCTGTTGTAAGTACATCCAAGGCACTCTTCCCCGCACCCATGATGGCACGGTTTCACCGGGCAAAAGCGCACCGGGATTTGGCAATGGAATCGTATGATCATACAAGTTCTCATACAAGTTCTGCTCGACTTGTGCAATCTCTTCAACTCTTCATGTGCCGGTGATTTCGAGGGAGTGGACTAGGAAAAAAACGATTTGCAACCACTTCTTTGATCCTTGATCCGACTGAGAGACAGACCGATGCGCAACAACCCGGCTGCTGTTGTGAATCTTGAACCTCGTTGCGGAGGTACGTGCATAACAACGTTACAAAACACCTCTCTGAAAGCAAAACCCCATGACAATGACAATCAGCCCATGCTCAGTGAAATGAGAAGGCTGAACCCAGTGGATCTTCCCTGACCGGTGTCTGTCACGGTGAGCGGAGAAGCTTTGCAACACCAGCTGTGCTCGTGCCGTCCCCGCAGTCGACGGACCTCCGACCGTTGAGCCCCAGCGTTGAGCCCAGAGGGTAGCATCAAGGTCTTCCCAAACCACCGCAGAACATGTGGCGGACCCCGAACGCCGAACACCGGCCGTTTCACACCGAAGTGCCGTGAAAACGCGCGTGCTCGTGAAAACGCAGACGCGTGGGCACGCTGCGGTGGATCTTTTCTCAGCCACGCCAGCGGTGCCAATCGTCCAGCGCAAAGGCGCCATCTTCATCGCCCACAGACACATCACCCGCCACCTGAGGAGCTGCAAACGATGGGGGTGGGGCTAGGATGGTTGTGGGAGAGTGACCCTGCAAATTGCCACACCAATGGCTGCAAAACGTGGCAAACTCAGGGTGAATGAGAAGAGTCACACCAAATTGGTCTCCAGAGATCGCTTCTCCAATAGAAAACCCTGATGTTTCCATCCTTTTGTCCGTCCCTTTGAAACTTCCATGGACCACCCCGCCCCTTCCCTTCCTCCGCGTTCAGAACCGCCACCTGGTCGAAGAGAGCCTTCCGCTGATCCAAGAAGGCCACCGAGCGGAGCCACCGCGCCCTGGACCGTTCGTTCCATGACACCAATGGACACCCGGGACTCTGTGGTGCTGGTGAATGGCACGAAAACAGACACGACCTGTCTGGGACTGCCATAGATGCCGATCAATTGGGGTGGTTGAATGTAGGCATACATGGCAGTCCCATGGAGTGTCTGGGTCTTTTACCTTTTCAGTTGCATATGATTCACTTGAGTGGATTGATGATTTAGATTCAGATGGTACTTGGAACTGGCAACTCTGCTTACTAGGCCTATTTAGGACCAACTGGTCGCAAGTCCCTAATTGCCTTTTGGTTCAGCTATGGCAGCCATGGATACCAGTTGCAACCACTTAATTATAGGGGAGGCCCAAGAAGCAATCCACTCAACCACCAAGAACTGTTCCAGTCGGTCTGTTCAAACACTGGGAGACACCTGGAACATGGAAGGTGGCGAATCCGGCGCGGACTCTCCCGTGATCGCCGTACGGCCTCTCCGACCACATGCGTCACCCATCGGTCCAAGCGTCACATGCTCGGGCATCACCGCCACGGCGAGGCGCGCCGAGCGGGACAAGTCCATCGTGGAGAACTGCTGCGCCAGGATATACCGAAAGGGCCACGACTCTGCCCCGGCCACGAAGCGCTTGCCTGGGTGGCAAGCAAAAAGCCCGAGCACGTCTCGTTATGGTTTCATCGTTTCATGCACCATCTGGAGTCGTATCCTTGAACTGTGAGGTGAACAAAGAGAAAGAGAGAGAGAGAGAGAGCGAGAGAGCGAGCGAGTATCTGAGTCTGGCAGTAGATTTCTCCATCAATCTCTTTCCGTTCGTTCTTTCCAAAAGCCCGGCCATTCAGGATGGCCAAACGATGGACTCCCCTCTAGGCCGTCCCAGCCATCGCTCAGTTTTCCTTGGGCACGTTATAAGAAGAAGTTGGAACCGGAAAAAAGGGAACCCTCTAAACTCTAACCCCATCCTGCTGTCCAGATTACAGTATATAGATCATATTAGATCAGCAGCATTCTTGGTGCAGCATGCCAGTGCTTGATCCCCCCCCCGTTTCTTCGGCTCAGTGGCGTTTCTTCTTGCCCGTCCATGACTTTTGCGTCACGGAACCCAATTCCTCCAGGTCCAGTTGGCCATCGCTGTTGGCATCCAGCCTGGCCCAGGCCAGCTGGGCGGCCTCATGCACCACCTGTGGGGCGGACACATGTGGACAGCCCCAAAAATGCACATCCTGGAGTGGTCCTGGTCCTGCGAGCTTCTCTATACGGATACAGGCCCCTGCGCTGGCGCGCACGCCAAACCAAGGGCCGCATGGGCAACAGATCTTCTGGCGTGCCCCTTCGGGAGCACTCCAACCTTTGTCGGAAGCACCAGGGGCACGAGGAGAGTCCTTTCGGAAGTTAGACCTCTGACCGACCATGGAAGTCGGTCAGACCCCTGAGAAGTCAGGCGCGCCTTCTCCACCAAGGCCACGAAACATGCTTCATCACATGCCCCGCTGGGTCCGTGCTTTGCGGCCACCGCTGTGCGAAGCAGCGGTGCCAGTAGGGGCGGCGGCTCTGGGACAGAGGGCACCTGCGAACATCAAGAGACCAAAAACGGGGTTTGAGAAATTCGGCAGAATGTCTAGACTATAGACTAAACAAGACTAAACATCTAGGTCCGGGGATCACCCTCCCAAAATATGGATCTCCACGGAATGACCAGTTTCCAGCGTGCCAGGCTGCTCAGAGTGGGGATGAACTGGAATCGTGTGATTGCCCAATTACCATATTCATCATTCGTCTTGGGCCACCTGTCGCCCAAATGAAGCAACTGGATAGTCGGATAGTCCATGTAGTCACTATAGTCATGCCGTGCCATCGCAGGATTTCTCCCTCCTTCCCTCCCCTCGAACCTGTAAATAGCTCATCTGCGGCTGTCTCCGTTGGGATGCCACCGCCCAGACGTGGAACAGCGCCAGCAGGGTGAAGCGCCGGAGGTCCATTTTTGGCGGGCGCCAGCGCTTGTTCGATCGAATCTGTCGCTAGAGATTCCCAAGCAACAGAAACAAATGGTTGTTCCCAGATGGTGCCAGCTTGAGGTCCTTTGCATAGCAAGTGGTTGTGTGGGGGGGGAACATCCAGTTGTTTCTGGTTGTTGGGGTTTCCATGGCAGGTTGGAATTTGAGGTGCCCCCCTGAGGCTCAGCACCACTGCCGATTTGGGAGGCACTGCTTAATGCAAGCACTGCCTATTGCAATAGCCTCTTCGAATCTGGGTCTGCGGCCTGTGGTTCCTTTCTTAAATTCGGCATTGGATGGCATTGGGAGGCCACCCTCAACCTAATCCCAGCAAGTGCTGGTGGAGCAGGATCCAGCGGTAGAACGGGCAGGATGCCAATCACCATGAGAAACAATGGTTCAATACCTGGAACCTGGCCATCTGGACCTGAAGACACCGAACTCTTTGATCCTCTTTGCCGGAGATGACCATGGGCTGCGGCCATCGGGATGACTCGAGTGGGTGGCAGCCAATGAGTAGACCTGGACTCGAGTGCGGATGGAACTACACTCCCTGGAACTAACACGGAAGTGGATGCCATGGCACCTTGGGGTCTTCCAGTTGCCTCATGTTGCCTCTACAACCAGGGGATTTTCCACTTCCATGTCAATTCCAGGGAGGCCACTCATGTTCCAAAGATCACCTTCCACCACTCGAGGTGCGGGACGGTCCGCAGGAGTGCCGCTGGAGTGGGTTCGTGGTCTGGCACTGCTGTTGCCCAGGGTACAGTGCTTGAATTGGAGGAATCGGGGTGGATCACGGGATGCTGCATCAGCCTGTGCCAATAATATGATGAATGTTCAAGATAGATTCACACACGCGACGGCCCTAGCATCAAGTTCGCTCTAACATGCGCGCATTTGCTCAAAGAGCCACGAAGCGAGTCAGGGGTCTACTGATTGACCAACCACGCATCCCCGCGCACCCCTCGCCGCCGCTGCACTCGGCCCGCACCCGTTTTCGCCCCGGGGCGAGCTCAGCTCGGAGAACGCCCCGTCGCAGCGCCTGTTCGCTGGCGCAGCGGATGGATCCCTTGGCACAGGGGGATGTGCTCCGAGTTGAGGTGAGGAGGCATCTCTGAGTCTCTTGGTACAGGAAAATGTCTCCTGGACTTGGAACAGCCCAGCGAAACACGTCCCCGGGCCGTCATATGCACGGGGAAACGGCGTCAGCCACGTCCGGTCCAGGACGGTGTCGGAGGGCCAGTCATGCCACTGAAGGGTTCCACCAACAGGCCAAGCGAACGACAAGACCTTCGTCGATGGTCGATTTGATGATGGGACGGCTGGAAGCGGGTCCTTCTAAAACCGGCCCCATAGTGAAAATCTCGGAGTGGAGTGGAGATTGCAGCTGGTGGCACAAATGGATTGAGCATACAAAGAGGATACATCCCGTGCTTCAATTGCATTCTTCAGGCGATCTATTCTCGGTTGACTAGTGCGTTCTGCCGTCTATATGCCAGCTTCAGATTAAGCAAATAGACCAATATGAACTAATCTTTTCATGTGACGTGGTCTCTTTCCTTTTCTGCCATGCTGGGATTCATTGAGCTCTGGCTCCATCCTCCACAACTAGGTGGCCGTGTCTTGCCACGGAACTACGGGGGAGCGGCGGGGCTCCTGTGGGGCTCCTGCAACCCGTTGCGTTTCGCCGTGCAAGCCTTGAACCACAGATAAAGACCCTAGGACCTGACATTCTCCGCACGTCCTGCAGGATGCTCGAACACCACTGCCAGCTAGTGGATGATAGCACTGGTAATTCAAAAGCCTAAATTGCACATGCAAAGGCGGAGACCTTTTGAACCAATTGTCATGATCGTCCAGAGCCAGAGAAATAAGGAGCGGAGCACGTATCTACTTCCACTGGTGCTCGCTGAGAGGGCCCCGACGCTCCGAGAAAAAATCACTGAACCTATCTATCTACTGGCTAGACTGGGGCGAGGCGGGCAGAGGTCAGACAAAGAGGAATCAACAACATAAGGGTTCCCAAATAGGTGTTCCATATATATATATATTATATGCAGTATAATACATGAATATGTGTCGCACAATGTCCATGTATATGTAATCATTAATAATCATATGTAACAACGTCCACGTTTTAAACGCCTTGACCTCGGCCTACCTCAGCTACGCAACGGCCTCTGGCTGTCTGGCGCGTCTGGGCAGGGCCTGGCATCGGGCGAGATCGGAAAGGGCGAGACCGTCAGAGCGACTGCTCCGGAAGTTGCCTGACACATCTGGAGGAGACATCTTATATAAAGGTTCTAAAACTCACATGTTGCAACTACATGATGGAAGAAGTGCTCCTCTTCCTGCGGGCCAAAGTCAACCACCATGCAAACTACCTTCCCGCTGCATGGGGGTGAACGTTCATGTTCTGGCCATTCACTCAGAGTGGACCACCGTCTGGCCCCTAGAAGCCCTAGAAGTCCAAAAGAAAAGGACAGTCCCTTTCAGGTCCCCTAAAGTCCCCTTCTCTTTATAGCCTTTGACTCCCAGGGTGGCGGTCCACTCTGCCAACCCGAAGTCTCTTTCACCACCCCCACGGTGGTGCTCCTCTGCCGTCCACCGTCGTTATCCGGAGATCAGAGCCGGAGACCATCGACCGACCCAGGAGATCAAGAGAATTCAAGGGACCAGAGATGGCCGAGGTGGCCTGGGGTCAGCCACAGATTCGCCTCAGAAACTGATGGAACTTGCATGTGACATTCTTTTACCTGTTTGTAGCACTACAGTACAGTAGGAGCCTGCTCCTTAGTGGAGCCTGCTCCAAACCCCCTAAAGTCACAGTGATATACAGTGATCTTCAAATTATAAAGCTCACTTGGACCCTGGTGAAGTGAAACCACCGAGACGCTGAGACGCTGTCTTTTTGCGCGTGAACTTTGTGAGGCTCACACGGCAACTCTCAGACTTACCAGCTCCACTTTGGATTCTGCCTCGCCAGCGGCTTCACGCATACCCACCAGCTCTCACTTGCTCGGCAAAGGCTTGCTGCTTCTTCTCGGGGTGCATGGCAAACCACCAGTTCAGGATGATGTTCCGCTCCTCCGAGCCCTCCACCTGGGCCGTTCTCCGGTCGTTCTCATCTGCTGCGGCGGCGGTCGATGCTGTGGGGATGAACGACAGAAGGAGTACAGAACAACCCATGCTCCCCCCCCCTCATCCCACAAGATTCCTTGGACGAGAAGCTCGTTCAAAGGGAAGGGAATGGTCCCACCACTCCCTTTGGTGCGAAGCCGAGTGGTTTAGCCTGGTCTAGCCTCACACAGACTACCGTCGGCCCCCCCCCCTGCTGCGCCGGCCACCGATCCTCAAGGACGACCTTGGGCGGCTCGAAAGGACGGTCCAAAGGAACGGCCGAAAGGAAGGTGGAAGGTTGGGGAAGAAAAGGGGAAGCTTCCACCATTGGAGTCCCTCAACGTCACTGTCCTTCCTTCCAACCCTCAGCATTGAACGACTGTCCAACCCCAACCAGCCATCTCCAAAAAAGCTGAAAGTGTCCACGAGCTGTGCCCGTCCGCGGATGCTCAGCTCGTCAGATGGACATGTGAAATCCACATCGAACATCGAACTCGCGTTCGCGGCTCCGCGGTGTTTATAAGGGCCTGTTCTGACACCTTCCTACAGGCTGAGCGGCTTTTCTGAACGGGCCCGCGGATGCTCAGCGAGTCCAGTCCACCCCGAGTGCCCCAACTCCCGACGGACGGACTCGGAGTAGAAGAGAACGTTGAAAGACCAAGGTTGAGACCCATTCCGCAAGTGAGGGAACCCATAATGAAAAAGCCCCCCACTAAAACACCACATGAAATGGAAGGTAGTCCATATTTTTGGGAGGGGGTCAGGTTTTACAGCCCGGGTAAGGGAAAGGGATGGATGGCGGGAATGAATTCCGAGTCAAAGTAGAACGAAAGAACGAAGATGTTTTCATCTACCGGGAATCAGCCTCCAATCTCTCTCAAACAGGCCCAAGACCCCTCGGCTGTGGGGACCACATGTATCACCCTCTCAGAACGATAGTTCTGGACGCTGGATGCTTCACGAACGGAACTCACTGCTAAACAGGTGGTTCAAATCAACTCCCAAAGGTACCCGGATTTGCGCTATCTGAACTCACTCCATTGATTTGCACGATCTCCGGTCCAAAAGACTGAAAATGAACCTGCAAACCATCGTTGGCGTTGGTGAAATCTCAATCCACTTGGAGGGTGGATTGACTCTTAGATGAATCTTACTCACCAGATCTCACCAGTCTAATTACATGAAATGAGGAGTAGACTGATGCACACCTCTTGTTCTCAAGCACCAAGCACCCACCCGTCCGCTGCTCTCCTCTCGTTTCACCGCAGAAAAGCTGCGAACGATCGGTCCGGTGAAACCGTCGGGTCCGCCGACGTTAGCGCCGTGGTGGGCGTGGAACGACGCGCTTCGCCTTTCTTCGCCCAACGTCTCTGTGTTTGGTCAGCGCCCCAAAACCATCGTCTACAGTAGAATCCCCATCAGTTGCAGGAAACGTCTCTGAACTTGTTCAGGAGGTCGGGTCATTGAGAATCCGGGACAGCCCTTCCAGCTGCAACAGAAACAGGAAGCCCCACGGCAGTCGGGGAATGACACAGGGCGTATACAATCCAAAAGGTGCCCCCTGCAGAGTAACTGGCAAACAAGGACCTTCCCTCCCGGAAACATGCCAACAGAGGTTGAAGGACCCGAACTAGCCTATCGCATAGGTACCCCAGTAAGGTCCTAGTTCAGGTCACTTAACCTCTCTTGGCATGTATGATGGTGAATTCCCTGGGCAGATCCTTGTGGCACGTATACACTATATGACGTATATGATCCAAGATTGCGACGTCCTGGTACCTTGATTGATGAAATGGACATGTCTCTTGCTCCGCATCTTGCGCGTGCTCACCACTCGCTGGCCCAGGCAGGACCGGCAATCAATCCCAGCCGCGATCGAGGTTCTTTCAAAAGTGGAACCTCATGGAACGCATGCTGGGCAGGCACCGCC